TCGAAAGTTTGCCGAATAAATCCTATCTAAACTGTAAAAATATGATGAGTCTGTACTTGTAATTTATCACTCCATTCATATTTTTTGGATTTGCATATACAGGGTGACTCAAAAAAATTAATGAATGCGTAAATATATTTTATTGATTTAATCAGGAACTACAAAACCGAATGCTCTGAAATCTTGCAGATGTTTTAAGGTCATAAAGAGCATAATAAATGTCTAGTCAAAATATATTTGCTTATCCCCTCCAAAAACTTGATGACGTCAGCTCGAAAGTTTGCCGAATAAATCATATCTAAAATGTACAAAATATGATGAGTCTGTACTTGTCATTTATCACTCCATTTATATTTTTTGGATTTGCATATACAGAGTGACTCAAAAAAATTAATGAATGCGTAAATATATTTTATTGATTTAATCAGGAACTACAAAACCGAATTCTTTGAAATCCACTGCGAAAAAAAAACATAATAGGCATGCAGTCGTCACGTTTCCGACAGCGAGGGAAGTACTGTCTAAACTCTTTAGACCAATTTTTTTTAAATATAACAAGGCAGTTTCTTATAGACGCTATGTATTTAGAATCAGCACGATTAATTAATTAATCTAGGTGCCAGAATTTATTGTGAATTTTTTGGCAACTTTTTCAAAATCAAAATTTTCTTTGAAAATTTCGGATAACTTTAGAAATTTAAGCAAATACATTTTCTTGTAGATTTCGACATCCAGAAGTTAGTTTCGGTCTCACTTGTTCGATGCCTTTGGCATTTTTTCAGAATCGCCAAATTTTTTGGATTAAAAAAAAAATGTATTTACGAACTGATTTTTTTTAATCTTTCATCATACGTATCATAAATACGCTATGATGTTAGAATCAGCACGACAAAATCTATGTTCCAGATTTTTTGGGGATTTTCGGCAACTTTTCCGAAAGCAAAATTTTTCAATTTCAATTTCTCCCTTTGAAAATTTCGGACGATTTTCGACAATTTTCGAAATTTAACCAAAGACATTTTCTTGCAAATTTCGACATCCAGAAGTTAGTTTCAGCCTCATTTATTCGAAGAATTTCTTCATTTTTCCAGAATCGCCCACTGAAATATTACATTTTTTTGGATTTAAAAAAAAAAAAGTACTAACGGACCGAGTATTTTTAAATTTTTCACCAGGAGCTCAACCATGCTGTTTTTAAAATAAGTATGACAAAGTCTACATTCCAGAATTTTTTGAAAGAAAAATTTTTCAATTTCAATTTCTGCTTATGAAAATTTTGGCCAATTTTCGATATTTTTTTATTTAATCAAAGATATTTATAGCGTAAATATATATTTAGAATCAGCACGACGAAATCTACATGCTAGAATTTTTTGGCAACTTTTCCAAAATCAAACCCGTTTTCAAAATTTCGGCCAATTTTCGATATTTTTTTAAATTTAACAAGACAGTTTCTTATAGACAATAAAAACGCTATGTATTTAGAATCAGCACGATGAAATCAAGGTGCCAGAATTTATTGAGAATTTTCTGTTAACTTTTTCAAAATCAAAATCTTCTAATATCACATCTTTGAAAATTTCGGACAATTTTCGAAATTTAACCAAATACATTTTCTTGTAGACTTCGACATCCAGAAGTTAGTTTCGGCCTCACTTGTTCGATGTCTGCCTTTTACCATTTTTTCAAAATCACCCAATTTTTTGAATTAAAAAAAAATTATTTACGAACTGATTTTTTTTTTAATCTTTCACCAGAAGCATAAACACGCTATGATTTTAGAATCAGTACGACAAAATCTATATTCCAGATTTTTTTGGGAATTTTTGGCAACTTTTTCGAAAGCAAAATTTTTCAATTTCAATTTCTCCCTTTGAAAATTTCGGCCAATTTTCGACAATTTTCGTTGTAGCCTCATTTGTTCGATGTCTTCTACCATTTTTCCAGAATCGCCCGCTGAAATATTACAATTTTTTTGGTTTTCAAAATATAATTGTGAATATTTTTAAATCTTTCACCAGGACATAAACACGCTATGTTTTTAAAATCAGCATAACAAAGTCTAGATTCCAGAATTTTTTGGCAAATTTTTTGGAGCAAAATTTTTCGAATTCAATTTCTCCTTATGAAAACTTTCGCCAATTTTCGATTTTTTTTTTTTTAATTAAACCAAAGACAATTTCGTACAGATGCCACAATTTTTGGGAATTTTCTTTCAATTTTCGAGATTTAACCAAAGAATGTTGTTCGATTTCCAGAATCGCCCAGTGAAATATTGCAGTTTTTTGGATTTTTAAGAAAATATATTTTCAAAACATGTTTAAAACTTTCACCACGCTTTGATTTTAGAATCAGCACAACAAATTCTACTTTCCAGATTTCTCTGGGAATTTTTGGAAACTTTTTGGAAGCAAACTTTTTCAATTTCATTTTCTCCCTATGAAAATTTCGGGCAATTTTCGAAAATTTTTTTAATTTAATCAGAGACATTTTCTTATAGAGCATAAAAACGCTGTGTATTTAAAAATATCAGGATGAAATCTACAAGCCAGAATTTTTTGGCTTTTTTCGGAAGCAAATTTCTTTAATTTCAATATCTCCCTTTGAAAATTTCGGCAATTTTTTTTATTGCACCAAAACCATTTTCTTACAGACCATAAAAACGCTATATATTTAGAATCAGCATGACAAAATTTACATGTCAGAATTTTTTGTGTTTTTTTGGCGTTTTTTCGAAAACAAAATTTTTTAATTTTAATTTCTCACTGAAAATTTCGGCCAATTTTTTAAGCATTTTCTTATATGCGTTCAGAATCAGCACGACGAAATCTACATGCCGGAATTTTTGGCAACTTTTTCAAAATCAAAATTTTTTAATACCACCCTTCTGAAAATTTCGGTCAACTTTCAACAATTTTCGATATTTAATCAAATACATTTTCTTTTAGATTTCGACACCCAGAAGTTGGTTTCGGCCTCATTTATTCGTTGGCTCCCACTATTTTTTCCAGAATCGCCCAATATTACAATTTTTTGGTTTTCAAAAAAAAAAAATGCATTTACCAACTGAATATTTTTACATCGTTCGCTATGTTTTTAAAATCGGCAAGACAAAGTCTATATTCTAAAATTTTTCGGTATTTTTTTGGCAATTCTTTGAAAGCAAAATTTTTCAATTTCAATTTTCGATTTTTTTTTAAAATTATTCAAAGACACTATATATTTAGAATCAGTCCAACGAAATCTACTTGCTAGAATTTTTTGGGAATTTTTTGGCAACTTTTCCAATCAAAATTTTTTAATACCCGCTTTCAAAGTTTCGGCCAATTTTCGACAGTTTTTTTAATTTAACAAGACAGTTTCTTCTAGACCACAAAAACGCTATCTATTTAGAATCATCACGATGAAAAATCTAGGTGCCAGAATTTATTGGGAATTTTCTGGTAACTCTTTCAAAATCAAAATTTTCCAACATCACCCCTTTGAAAATTTCGGATAATTTTCGAAATTTAACCAAATATATTTTCTTGTAGATTTCGACATCCAGAAGTTAGTTCCGGCCACATTTGTCGATGCCTTTTACCATTTTTTCAAAATCGCTCACTGAAATATTCCAATTTTTTGGATTTCAAAAAAAAAGTGTATTTACGAAAATCTACATTCTAGATTTTTTTGGGAATTTTTGGCAACTTCTTCGAAAGCAAAATTTTTCAATTTCAATTTCTTTGAAAATTTCGGCCAATTTTCGATATTTAACCAAAGACATTTTCTTGTAGATTTCGACATTCACAAGATAGTTTCAGTTCAGTTTCACCATTTTTTCAGAATCGCTCACTGAAATATTACAATTTTTTTGGATTTTCAAAAAAAATGTGCTAACGGACCGAACATTTTTAAATCTTTCATCAGGATCACAAACATGCTGTTTTTAAAACAAGTATGACGAAGGAATTTTTGCCAACTTTTTTTTAATTTGACCGAAGACATTTATAGCATAAAAACGCTATATATTTAGAATTAGCACGACGAAATGTACATGGCAGAATTTTTTGTCAAATTTTTCAAAATACCTGCTTTCTTATAGACCATAAAACCGCTATGGATTCAGAATAAACACGATGAAATCTACATGCCAGAATTCATTGGAAATTTTCTAGTAACATTTTCAAAATCAAAATTTTTTAAAATCCCCTTTGAAAATTTCGGACAATTTTCGAAAATTAACCAAAGAAAGTTCTTGTAGACTTCGACATCCAGAAGTTAGTTTTGGCGTCATTTGTTCGATTTCCAGAATCGCCCAGCAAAATATTGAAATTTTTTGGAATTTTACGAAAATGTAACAAACCGAATATTTTTAGTAAACCCAAAATTTCTAAATTGTCAGTTTCAGAATTTCAAAAACACTTTTTTAATTTGTATTTTTTGTTTGTTAATATTTATTATTACTTATAAAATAAATTTGAGGTTTCGAATGGCCATGAAACACCTATCCATCGGATTATGAAGTGGAGCACCCATTTGTTATTCATCTTGTCGCAGTTTTCATCATACGAGAAGTCAAAATTCCCGGTTTATGATAAAAATGTATCTATATTTAGTATCAGCAATCTACCTTAAAAATCACTTCCGTCAATTACATTTTAAGCATCTCTTACACTATTTTTTGCTATCAATGTTAACATAAAACTTCGGTCAAGTAGTTTACAATGGACATAAAACCAACTTTAAAATCCAGTAAAAGTACCTACATTAGTGTCGCATTGACATTTACGTTACCCACTTTAAATCCCCCTGCACTTCCAGCTTAAGTACCCACTCTCACCTAGGCAAGAATTTTCCAGAAAACTAAAACAACTTCCACAAACTCGCCTCTAATATAGCGACAACGCGAAAACTATTTCATTTAAGAATCTCCCTTAGGTGGAGCATTTTTTCGCTAAACGTCTCCTCCAACAAACTCATTTTAATAAAAACCCTGACATTTTTTGCTCTTGTTTCAGCTTACCCTGTCCCGGCAATTTCATATTCGTTTGCTGCAACATGACCACCGGTTTGGAGAACACCAAATACGACATCGATACCGCGCAAAACGACATTGTGTCCATCGAATTAAAACCATAAATAAATAATAGTTTAAAAAACTAAAAAAACACGCTTTTATTGCTAATCGAACTAAAAACTAGAAAATAATTTTTAATGACAGAGTTTAATATTACAGTAGTAGAAGATCAAATAATCAATCATAATAAATCACCTCAAATTAAAATTATAATAAAATTTAAGTTATTAACAGAATAATTCAATTCAGAGTAAAAAGCGTGGGGTGCTTGATATTTTAAATATTACAATCATTCTATTGGCAACTATCTATGAGAGGATAGTTATGAACCGCAGTAAAATGCACCCCACGCTTTTTACTCTGAATTGAATTATTCTGTTAATAACTTAAATTTTATTATAATTTTAATTTGAGGTGATTTATTATGATTGATTATTTGATCTTCTACTACTGTAATATTAAACTCTGTCATTAAAAATTATTTTCTAGTTTTTAGTTCGATTAGCAATAAAAGCGTGTTTTTTTAGTTTTTTAAACTATTATTTATTTTTCATTTTTTAGTCTGCGACAAATTCATAAATTGGGGAATTAATTACTTATTTAGATTTTTCTAGAAAGAACCACTCAGTGGTCTCCGTAGGATCGAGGATCCTGGCGGTCGTAATAAGGATAATGGGAAACTGTTATCAAATTATTGCATTGTCATCGATCCTTGAGACGTGTGCAAAGTTTCAAGATGATCAGACTTTTAGAAACCGATGAAAATTAAGCTCAAAGATTCCGTTACATACATACATACAACCCAAGCTAATAAAAGCGTGATAAAAACGCATTAATCGCCCACCTGACGCTTTCCTTTCCTTCTCCACGTCCGAGAAATCCAAGGAGCTCTCCGTAAGCGATCCGATGACGTTTTTGCCCTCCTCGCTTTTTGGCGGGTCCTTCACGTCTTTCTCGCACTTGGCTAATCTACCCCATGTCCATTCTGCGTCCACCGTGATCCACGTTATTAAATCTTCCACTCGCAGGACGACTTTTTCCGAAATGGCCAGTACTTCGTCCTGTGGAGAAAACAGAATTACGTCAAGTTTGCTTATCATATTCAATCAATGTAATTTACTTAAAATATAAATATAATTTGTGGTGCTTGTGGAGATTATTTAATAAATTGTTACAAACCACCCAACTAAAAACTTAGACGTCGCCAAATGGCCCCATTATTACCATACTTCGCTCGGCTAGCAAAAATCACGCCATTTCAGGTGGGATTTATCCGAGAAAAATGCGGAGTGGAGAGCTGGAACGAACGGGAAGAAGGCAAGGCGATAATCTTAAATACTTAAATAAAAGTTGTCTCATTATTTTGGTGGCGGGTTTTATTGGCAACATTGCCTTCTGCAAATTTTATGAGAGAGCGAGTATCGGGGATTTTAATCGGGGATGTCGAGGAGGAATATACAGAAGCTGCATTATCTTACAAAGTTACTAACTAATAGATAATTCCATTAATTAATACGCACGCGACATACCTATCTGAAGGGGAGCCCTTCAAAGGGCGGATTTATCAAACATTATACTAATTCAACGTTTCACAAACATGTGTTCGGGCCTATCAGTGGCGCAGCTTTCCGACATTTCACCCAAACTAAGTTCGGGAGGAGGGAAGCTGACGCTGATCACAATCGTACCATTTTTGATAAAGTCGAAAAAGGGTCAGGTTTCGTCAAATTTGCAGCCAGAGTTAGTTGTCTCAATTTGAAAAAAAAGTGACTCGTTTTAGTTTGTATATTATTTTGAAAATTTTGACATTTTTCAGCACGTTTTTTGAAATTTTTGATGAAACAAGGGCACAGAAATTAAATTAAAAAACTCCCTTTGACACACTATACATTAAGAACACAAAAAATCAAACTACAATACCGCAATAATGAAATATACAGGGTGAGTTCCTAAACACGCGGTCCTAGATATTCCGTGAATTATTATTAAAAATACTGAAAATAAGGTTAAAGTTGTATAGTTCTTTGAGTAACGTACACAAAAATTATTTCCAACTACAGAGTGTTCTACGACTAGTTTTTTTTTTAAATAGAACACCCTATATTCACACCGTTATTTCAGTTTTTACAAATAGAACACTCTGTATTTTATTATTGCATCTTTAATAAAAGTCAAAAATTGCAGAAACCATGAACTTTAGATATAGAAAATGCTGTTGTACCACATATTTTTAAAATAATGCTGTTGTGATTTTTTTGGGAACCTCTGCACTGATAAAAAAATTCAAGAAAATTAGAGTAATGTGGCAACATGGCCAATGAGAATATGTTAAAATATAGAGCGCTCATAAACTTAAAAAACTAAGTTATGTGTTATATTTCAAATATTCAAATGAAAATATTTTCAGCTATGTTGTTACTTAAAAAACCGTACAACTTTGGTTTTTGACTTCTTTTGTTTTCAATAATTAATGAGATATAGAGAAACAGGCGTTTAGTGACTCACCCTGTATATAAATATAAAAATGTAATGCGCTGTTGCCCCAATGCGTTGTAAACATCGGTGACTATCTAAAAAAAATGTCTTGAAATTGAAAAATTATCAAAATATATAGGGTGAGTCACGACGGGCGCTCTTCGATATATAATTATTTTTGAGGGTTCTATGCGACGTTGCCACGTTATTCCAATTTATATAAAATTATTGTCTATGGTTATTAGAAAAAATTGCTTTTAAATTTTGCACATCTGATAAATCGATAATCAGAATAACCTAATCCTCCCTTCCAGAGATTTGACGACGTCTCTCAAAAAATTTGCCAAGCCACTCTTTTATTTTTGACTTTCTACATGCAAAATTTTGGAAAAAAATTCAAAATTGTACAACAAAATTTTACGTACAGAAAATTAAAGAAAAACAAAGCTAATGGTAATTCGCTAATTAGAATTTTACGATTTTACGATTTTTGGATTCCCAATTTTTAATTTTTCGATTTTTCAATTAATGCATTCTTAAGATTTTTATTTTGCATTTTTCAATTCTGATTTTTTTTTTGGTTTTTTGTACTTTTTCAATTCAGTCAATAAGTTACTGAGTCAATCAATCAGTCACTAAGTCACTTTGTTACTAATTCAAATGTCTAAAAATTATAAAAACGAAAAATTACAAAATAAAAATTAAGAACCTAAAAAATCAAAAAATTGACAACTTAAATTTCGACAAAGTGTAAAATTAAAAATCTGATAATTGAAAAACCCAAACAATTTCAAAAATCGCAAAATTGAAGAAACAAATTAAAAAATCGATTTTTCAACTTTTTTAGTTTTCATTTTAAATGTGTCATAATAATCATAATTTTGAAAATTTTCACTTTGTCAATTTTATGATTTTAGAATTTTTCAGTTTTAATTTTTCAATTGCTCGAAGACCCAGAGACAAAAAAAGAGAGGGTGGGTGGGCGGGGCTAGTAGCTGCTAAGGTAAAACTGATTTTGGCAGATGGTATATTCTTTAAGAAAATAGAGGGTGGGTGGGCGGGGTTAGTATTTGCTAAAATAGGATCCACTTTGGCAGATCACATATTCTCTGAGAAAAGAGAGGGTGGGTGGGCGGGGCTAGTACCTACTAAAATAAAAGTGATTTTGGCAAATGACCTATCCTTTAAGAAATTTAATTAAATTATTATAATAAAAGACACTAGAGACTCCAAAGCAGTTTCAAATTATTTCCAAACAGGAATACCTAGAACCTCAAAACTGTTTTAAATTTTTCAAAAAACAAACTGGTTCCCACGATTAGCTCAAAAACTGGATAATGAAATCTACAAGAAAATAAATTTCGAAAATAGTTGAAAAATGGTCCAAAGATGTTAAAAGTGCCAAAATTAGTTTTATATAATCAAATACTAGCCCCGCCCACCCACCCTCCATTTTCTTGGAAAGTATTTGATTTGCCAAAATTAGTTTTATCTTAGTAAGTACTAGAACCCCCCTCCCCCATTCTCATCTAACGACTAATTTTATTTCTGTTCAGTATAAGATCATTCAAAAATCAAGGTGGGTGGGCGGGGCTAATTATTTTCTTCTGTTGTTTAGGAGGTGAAAAAAGTAAAAAAAGCGTCAATAGTAACTTTTTTCTTATACTATTCGCTATAGAATGTTTCATATTTCATGTACCTGACTTGACTTAACATGACCTGACCTGTTCTGATTTTTGTATTGTCTTAAATTAACAAATTTTAAATATTTCTGTGAATTTACAAAAAACTGTCCAACTAATTTTCGAAAATAGTTGAAAAATAGTCGAAAATCTCAAAAGTGCCAAAATCAGCTGGCTGGTACGTGCTGAGATAAGACTGATTTTAACAAATCACATACCCTCCAAAAAAATAGAGGTTGGGTGGGCGGGGCTAGTACCTGTCAAAATAAGAGTGATTTTGGCAAATGACTTATCCTTTAAGAATATTAAATAAATTATTATAAGAAAAGACATTAGAGGCTCCAAAGCACTTTCAAATTCTTTTCAAACAGGAATACCTAGAAAATAGTTGAAAAATGGACCAAAAATGTTAAAGTGCCAAAACCAGTTTTATCTTATCAAAACTAGCCCCACCCACCCACCCTCTCTTCTCATTCTAACGACTAATTATTTTTCTGTCCAATTTAAAATCATTAATTTCATTCAGCCTGGATAAAATCAATCACTAAAATAGAGACAGGGTGGGTGGGCGGGGCTAGTTATGTTCTTCTGTTGTGTGGGAGTGGAAAAAGGATGTGAAAAAGTAAAAAAAAGCGCCAATCGTATTTTTTTTTGTTATATTATTTGCTATAAAATTTATTTCTTATTTCAGGTTACCTCACGTGACTTAACCTAATGTGACCTGACCTGTCCTGATTTTTTTATTGTCTCAAATAAACAAATTTTAAACATTTCTGTGAATCTACAAGAAAATGTTTTCAACTAATTTTGGAATAGTTGAAAAATAGTCCAAAAATGTTAAAAGTGCCAACATCAGTGTTATCTTATCAAATACTAGCCCCGCCCACCCACCCTCTATTTTCTTGGAAGGTATGTGATTTGCCAAAATTAGTCTTATCTTATAATGTGACCTGACCTGTCCTGATTTTTTTATTGTCTCAAATAAACAAATTTTAAACATTTCTGTGAATCTACAAGAAAATGTTTTCAACTAATTTTGAAAATAGTTGAAAAAAAATCCAAAAATGTTAAAAGTGCCAACATCAGTATTATCTTATCAAATACTAGCCCCGCCCACCCACCCTCTATTTTCTTGGAAGGTATGTGATTTGCCAAAATTAGTCTTATCTTATTAAGTACTATACGGAATTATTTTAATTTTCAATTTTACGATTGGTCTTTTTTCGATATTTCAATTATTTTGCAATTTTCCAATTATTCCATTTTTCGATTTTTAAGACCGAGTTTTATTTCATAATTATTCTAGTTTTCAATTTTAAAGGTTTGCATTTTTTGATTTTCAGCAATTTTTCAATTTTTGAATTTAATTTTTGGCTTTTTCAGTTTTCCGTTTTTCAATTTTTTAAATTTTAATATATGTCTATTTTTCAATTAGCGCATCCTTGGATTTTATTTTCAACTTTTTATAGTTTTTGGATATTTTCAAATTGGTTTTTTCAGTTTCTCGAATTTTGCTGAAAACGAGTTCTATTTTTCAGTTTTTCTAGCTTTCAACAAGAATTTCAAAAATAGAATTCGGTCTTAAAGCCTATGTCGAAGCCAAAATATAGGGCGTGCATAAACTTAAAAAACTAAGTTGTGTGTTGTTTCAAAAACTAAACACTCTGTATATTGTTGAAAATAATTTTAGTGTATGGTCCTCTAAAACCCGTGCAACTTTAATTGGTGGCTTTTTTGTAGTCATTGGAGATACCTAAAAAATTGTCTATAAATTCCAAAATTATCATTTAGCAAAAGCAGAATATACAGGCTGAGTCAGCAAAATATGGGTGGGCCCTTTTTTATTCTTTTCACAACAAGAAACTTAACACATGTTTAAAATGGTAAATATTTATAGGGACATGAGGATTTTGCTATCGATATTTTTTACCAAATTTTTTGGCAATTCAAAGATTCAGAAAAAAAATGACAAAAGGATTATTTTTAAAA